TTGACGTTTTGTGTTGATAGTAGAAGAAGGAGACACACTATAATTAAAATAGAGGAGTCAAACATCAATTTTAAATTTTTTATTTTTTAAAAAAATGGGTAATTTTGTCTCAAATTTTTTTTTCTAAAATTTATGGAATCGAAATACTAAGGGGGGGGGGGGGGTGGGGGGGATGAGATTCTAATTCCATGAAAATGAGGGAATTGCAATCCCGTCAAATTGAAATTCCCTCCAATCAAGTCCCGTTAAGGTGTGCCCTCGTAACCTTCCGGGTAGCTTTCGAAAGGTACCATTCAGAGTAGTTACCTCTCGGACTACTCACGTTTCGAACTTAAGGTGGACGATTTTAACACTTAGGGGGCGTTTGGTTCACGGAATCTTGGATTACCCCAGGTAATAGGATTACCTCCTTGAAGGTAATGTGAGATTTAGGGAATGTAAGATTACCTTGTGTGTTTGGTTTAGATGGTGTAATATAATATTACCTTGTTTGGTTTAAGGTTATATTTTAGGTTATATGGATAAATTTACAATATTGTCCTCAATATATATATATATATATATATATATATATATATATATATATATATATATATATATTATGTGTGTGTATTTATTTATATCTATGAATGTATATCAAAGCTTAAATATTAGAAAAACTAAATATATGAATATACACACATGTATATTTGATTATATAAACATATATTAATTTTATCATCATCATCATTATTATTATTATTATATAAGGATTAGTTAACAAGGGCAAAGTTGGAATAATTCAAGGTAATCTAAGATTACCTAACAAAATGGGGGTAATCACATTACCTTGAAACATTACCGCCACATCAGCTTTCAGGTAATATAACACTACTAGAAATTATGGAATTTCCGACCACCTGAAAGTGATCTTAAATCAAGTTGATACCAAAGAGTGGTCGGAAATAGCAACAAAGGTTTTTCCGGATACCAAAAGTGGTCGGAACAAGACTTTCGACTTGATTTAGGATCACTTTCAGGTGGTCAGAAATTCCATAATTTCCAGTAGTGTAACATTACCTGGTAATCTCATAACTTGAACCAAACAAGGTAATATAATATTACCCAACTCAGATTACCTAGGTAATCTAAGATGACCTGAACCAAACACCCCCTTAAGGTGCATCATTTTGACACTTAAGGTGCGTCATTTTGACACTTAAGGTGCGTCATTTTTGACACTTAAGTTGCGTCATTTTAACACTTAAGGTGCATCATTTTAACACTTAAGTTGCGCCATTTGAACACTTAAGGTGCGTCATTTTTAACACTGAAGGTGCGTCATTTTAACACTTAGGCCATGTTTGGTAAAATAGTTAGCCTATAGACCAATTTTAACTTATTTGACCACTATTAGTTGTTTGACTTGGTTTAAAAATCAATATAAGTGTTTGGTTAATTAGCTTTTTGTACTCCAAAATGCTATAATTCAAAAAGCTACTCAAAGCAACTTTTTCAATTAGCTTTTTGATAAAAGAGATTATACCAAACAGTTATCAGCTAACAGCTAATTTACCAAACATTTTTCTACAATCGGCTAATGTTATCAACTAGTTATACCCTCTAATTTAACCCAATCAGCTGACAGCTAACAACTATCGGCTAACAGCCATTTACCAAGCAGGGTCTTAATGTGCGTCATTTTAACACTTAAGGTGTGCCAATTCAACACTTAAGGTGTGTCAATTCAACACTTAAGGTGCGTTAAGGTGCATCAGTTCAACAATGGTAGGAGGATCGGAATGCCTCCAGTTCCCAGGAAGCGCGTTTTTTTTTTTAATTTTTCTTGATTTGAGTCGTTGATCTATATTTGATCAACGACTCAGCTCTCACCCCATCTTTCACCTGGGGGACTCTTCGTACGTGAACCATCCCGTATGTGTGTGTGTGTGTGTGTGTTAGAAACCCGTGTTTACCACTACAAAAATTTTATGTTCTTATATACCGTCCAATTTTCAAGAAGCAGGGTGCTGGACTTGTCTCCGCCCAACAATCTCCTGATACCACTTGTTAGGATCAAGCGGCTCGAAAAGGTATAGCTCATAGAGAATGTGTAACTTTATTTCCTTATAAACCTTCATCACATTTTCGAGAGGCAAGGTGCTAGACTTAACTCTTCACCAACATCCGCCCAACAATTTCCTTAGCTACCAACTAATGGCAAATTATTGTGTAGACCATGGTCCACACAATTGTATGGACCATGAATATCAGGTACATTTTAATATATTAAAAGTACATTATTTTTGTACTGAAGGTACATTATTTTTGTACTGAAAGTACATTATATAAAATAATGTTCCCTTAGTATATTAAAAATGTATTCTCAAAAAATGTATTTTACGTACATAAATAATGTACCCTTAATATATTAAAAATATACTTTTTATTTATGGTCCACACAATTGTGTGGGCCATGGTCCATGCAATAATGATTGACAATTAATGGACTTGGCACTTTATTGGCATCAGCCCAACCATTTCAAAGTCAATCGTTATACCCTGCACCACGGCGCGCATAGCATTGTGCGTCCCGCGCCTCCCAAAACGACGTCGTTTTGGTAAGTTATGTAGGAAGTTGACGTGATTATGTGTATTTGTTTATAAATTATGTGTATTTTGTTTATACAATTATGTGTATTTGTTTATACAATTATGTACATTTTTTATACAATCATGTACATCTTTTTTATACAATTATGTACATTCAAAATAGGAAATTTATGTGTATTATGTTAAGAGTTGATGTTTATTGTGTTAAAAGTTTATGTATATTATGTTAGATTATATGTATTATCTTTTTTTTTTTTAAAGTAAGTGTATTTTGTTATACAATTATGTACGTTCATGTATACAATTATGTGTATTCTAGTATAAAATTATGTACATTTTTTAACATGAGAATTTTTTTTTTAAAGAAAATTAACCGCCAACAGGGGTAGCGAAATTTCAAAAAAAAAATAAAAAAAATAAAATTGAAACGACGTCATTTTGCATTAGGGCGCACAATGCAATGCGTGCCCTGGTGCACAGGATATAAATTGCCTTTCAAAGTAGTCATTCGATCATTCTCCAATTAGTCAAATTATATCGTGCATCGCGGTGCATAGTCGATTATGCACCGCGTATCAAAACGACATCGTTTTGTTTAATGAAAAGAAACGGCATCCGTTTCCCGCCGTTCCGCACCCTTCCGCAAAAAATAACTCTGTTGTTCAGATCAGTTTCATTTTGTATACACTGCAGTTTCAGTTCAACACAACTACGATTTCATTTCGATATAACTACAGTTTCATTCGATTTTTATAGACTCAAATATGTGAAAATGTTATTTAATTTTATTTTATATACACTATAATTTTATTAAAACGCAACTACATGATCATTTTGATATAATTACCGCTTCATTGTACAATATACACTCAAATATGTGAAATGTTATTCAGTTTCATTTTATATATACTGCGGTTTCATTTCACCACAACTACAGTATCATTTTGATATAACTCTAGTTTCATTTGATAATATAAAAATAATACGTGAGGCAGTGTCAGTTTAGATATACTATAGTATCAGTTGGTAATTAAAATTAATAAAAAAAAATACGCGCTCTGTTAATACTAACGGCGCCGTTTTGACCGCGGTCCATGATATAACGACCCCTCCCATTAGCCCCCTTGTTAGGATTTGTAGTTAGCAGATCCTAGTTTTGAGGTAAAAATATAAAATTGAGAAAAGATTATAGTCGAAGCTAAATCATATGACCAAAGTGGTTTAACGTTACCTCGACAATATCAATGTGTATGCGTTGTCCCAATCCTATCATGCATGATGCATGCAATAAGTGAGGGAGGGACTTTGGTATGAGCATTACATGAATGATCCTTAGAGGCAGGACCACATTAAACTAGCATTATATTATATTCACCCCAAAGCCATGGCTGGCCAACCCATCCCCCTATCTCTCTATAAATGATGAAGACAGAGTCATAACATTATGCAGGCAGGCCATCAAGGACAATATGCCTCAGGTACCTAATTCATAGTGGACCACCTTACCAAATGCCTTATTACTATCTACAATCCCAAAAGTAGGATTCTTTGCAAAAGTTGGGCATGCACCCAAACTTGTCTTGCCAAGTTATTTAATTCCCCCAAACACATACATACCAATTTACAAAAGTAAAAGAGGTGTTTAATATAACTTAATTACCCAGCTACTAAATTTGAGATACAACCTTTATTTCCAAAAAGAAAAGTAAAAGGGAATATATATATAGGGTTGAGTTTACATGAAAACTACAATATATAAAGGACTGTGCGGACGGATTGCGGACACACGATAAATTAGTATCAGGCACACAATTTATAAACATCAGGTTTCGAACCCAAGCTCTACTAATTAACAAACATATGCACACGATATCCAAGTTAATAATACATGACTACATCAGTCTTCACAGTCCTCTATAATATAGTATAGTAGTCCTCAAATAAGAATAGAGATTTCTATGTAATCGGTGTGAATTGCACCATTAGAATTGTATACATGCACAACACAGTATTCGAAAAATGTACAAATATACCACAATGCATATCTAATGGTTCGCACCGGAACCTAGTTAGTTATATCATATATATACATATATATATAAAGGGTTTTAATATATATATATATATATATATATATATATATATATATATATATATATATAAAGTAACTTGGAAGCTAAAGCAATCTTCGCATTCACACCCTCACACTCACCAATAACCAAAGCTTTACCACTTCCCAACATTCAAATCCAAGAATCAATAGAATTGAAATGAGACCCCATGTCACATTCCTTAATGGCCCAAAAGAAAAACTTTTCCTCATTGGACCATAATTAAGTAAATTCCCAAACTTACTTTTACCTGCTAAAGTGGGGAAGGATGAAAATTTTCCAAGTAAAACAAAGGTATACTTTGAAAATAAGGATGGATTTTACTGTTATGTGCTAAAGAGCAGATTGAGAAGGAAAGAAAATACATGGAAAGAATGAACAATTGACTTTCACTACTGTTAAAAGGGATTTATACTATTTTTTTTTTCTCTTCTGCTGCTATTTTTTCTATTGTTTGATGAAATATCAAGAAGACATGTTAACATGCACAGTGGCATTCATGTTAGAGTTGCAGACGGGGCAGTTGTGGAACATGGTGGACCCACAAGCCGAGCAGAGACACAGATGCCTACATGGCAACAGCAGCACGGTGGACTCTCGTTCCCCACACCGCCGGCACATCCTCCTCACGCCGGCGTTTTCCGGCGCCGGCGGGGGAGTCCCAACTTCCGGGGGAAACTTCTCCTCCGCCTCCTCTTGCTCATCCACGTGATTGCTGCCGCAGCAGGACTCGGCGTCTTCCTCCGCCGCGCCGCGGCCGACGAGGCCGCCGGAGATGTGGTCGTCGCCGACGTGGGCCAGGACTTGTTCCAAGTTGCAGCGGAGAGAATTGGCGGTGGCTTCGTTGCTCTGCGCTAAGTCTCTCCATAGCTGATTCTCTACGTAGAGGCTTTTCACCCTTTCTTGGAGGGCTAAATTCAGTTTCCCCATTCTCTCAATCTGATCGTCTTTTTCCTTGAGTTTCTTCATCACCCTTTCTCCGATCGCCGCCACCAAAATCCTCCCTTGTTGCTTTTGCCTCTCTTCAAATTCCATTTTCATCTTTTTCGTCTGTAAATAAACACAAAATTAGATCAGAACAAACAAAATCACAATCTAATATAACATTCAAAAAAAAAAAAAAAACTTACATGGTGGGAGACGATTCGATCGATTTCTATTTGATACTGCTGAATAATAGGAAGAACATCATCTCCGAAGAAAGATGGGATTTGAGCGCTTTTCTGAGGGGGAGAAGCAATGAAGTGATTGAATGAATCTCTGGGTCGCTTTCTACAGGGAGCCTGTTGGAGATTATACGTGAGGCCACTGTCGGTGTTCATCGACGTCTTGGCCGGAACCGAGTCGCAAACCAAAGACGGGTGCAACGGAAACACACTCTCCGGCAATGCGCCGGCGAGGGGCAACACCGCCGATCCCATCTGATACCCATTATTATCAAATCCAAACCCATTCCCCTGCGCCATAGTATTCACCAACTCTCTGAAAAAAAACCCAAATTCCCCGTCAGAAAAATCCAAAAAAAAACCCACAGATCAAGAAAGATCAGCGCAGAAACGTTACCTGTTAGGAACGAGTTGCTGGGGAGGAAAAAGATTGAGATGTCTAGCTTCAACCGCCATCAAAGACTGAGTATTTTTCCGATGCTTAACTTCTGGTTGGTTTGGGGTTAAGATAAAGAAGAGAAGATGGTGAAGTTAGAGAGAGAGGGGAGAGAGAGAGGGGAGAGAGAGAGAGAGAACATGCAAAAGAAGTGGCGAGTAGGGAGGCAGAATGGGGATTTGCTTTATTTAAGCGTTTGGTTTTTGCCTTTTTGGATAGAGAAGAAGAGAGAATGTGATGAGGAAGTCAAAGATAGAATTCTAGAGCGAGAAAGTCTAGGAGCGAGGAAAACGGTACAAAATACTAGGCATGGCAGATGCCCTTTTATTTATTTATTTATTTATTTATTTACTCTGCCAAATATATTAAATAATAATAATATAATAAATAGGGTACGTTTTATTTTAGAAATAAAAAATAAAAAATTTTTTGGGAAATATAAAAAAAGTGAGAGTCATTGAATGTGCATTAAATTTTGTCGACCGTAAAAAGTACTCTCCTACTCCCACGTTACTTTGGATTTTTCCTATAAGTCATCAAAGTCAGCTAATTTCTTTTTGGTAGGCCAAACTTCGTAATTACTTACCACTTTTAATTATGCCAACATTTTAATCACCCACCCCTCCCCTACTCTATTTACTATGGTGGCGTTTGGTTCAACTATACGAATTAGGATAGGAATTTGAATCAAATATTTAGTAAAAATAATCTATATGTATCAAAATGGGAATCAAAATCTAAAAGAATAATGCAAAATAATGTAAAATATTTTTTAAAACCAATAATCAAATTAATATTTATTGTCTTTGTTCAACAAAATCCCCTATATGTGAAACTTGCAAAGATGGGCTAAAAGAATTTTTAAAAATAGAATAAGGAGAAATTAAAAAGAAATAAAAAAGAAATAAAAAATAAGAGTTAATACCATCCGAGATCCTCCAAGTATAGTGGTTTTGACAAGTTTAGTCCTAAACTTTCAAATTGACCATATGTGGTCCTTCGACTTTCAAATTTAATCATTCGTGGTCCAAGTTAACCACCTATGGTCCTTCAACTATTAAATTTTAACCAACCATGGTCATTTCAAGAGGACCACAACTGGTTAAATTTTGAAACTTGAAGGACCAAGGGTGGTTAACTTGGACCATGAATGGTTAAATTTAAAAGTCGAAGGACCACATATGGTTAATTTGAAAGTTTAGGACTAAACGTGGCAAAAGCACTATACTCGAAGGACCTTAGATGGTATTAACTCTAAAAAAATAATTAAACCTCTCATTGTGCATGGAATAATTTTTTGGGTTTTACTATTTTGGAATCTTAAGCATTAATTTTTTTTAAATGAACAAAGTTAATTATATTTTTTGTCCTAGACTTATAGGTATTAGTCTATTTTTAGTCCCTTTTTATTAAAATATTTACATTTGATCCTATTATTCTTGTGGCATGATCATTTTTAGTCATCTATCAATAAAACAGTTTTAATGCGATTAAATACAAAAGTATTTAACGACATTTCAACGAATACAAAGTATTTGCATTCAACAAAAATACAAAAGTATTTCGGTCTTCAATTACGAATTTTTTTTTTAAAAAAATAAACATAAAAATATAGCGGCATTAACTCACTTTGTATACAAATAATTGAAATGTCTTTGCATTTAATGACATTTCAACGATTTTATTGACGGAGAACCAAAAAATGACCACGTCACTATAATAGTAGGACCACTATGAATGTTATGATAAAAATGACTAAAAATGGACATTCACATATAAACCTGAGACTAAAAATGAAATTAACTCAAATAAACACTTATAATGAAATTATTGTGATTCCTTACCTCAAAACACATTAACAAACGCACGTCCTAAATATCTTTTTCCCACCCACGTCAATTGAATGATATATTATATTATTATATCTCAACTAAAACATTACAAACACTTAGTCATTTATTATTTGTGGCTCTATTACAATGTAGAGTCCAATAACGCCTCCACTAAGACTTGAACTCACAACCTTCCAAATGAAAGTCCAACCCGAGTACTATTAGACTATAAATTTATTATTTATATATATTATACTTACAAGAAGTTGTGGTCAGGAAAGACATTTGAATCCTACAATCATAAGAAAATTTATTCTCACCTTGTAACATCTAACAAAAGTATTAACAAATTCAAGTTTGAAAATAATCATAATATTCTATATTTAAACATTTATTTATTGATATATCCATTTTTATAATCATTTATCAATTAGATATTTTTCTCATCTTTTCAAATCAATAAAATTCAATTCAAATCATAAAAAATGTCCTCATGTTCACCAAAGATTACCTTTTTTTTTTTTTTTTTTTTACATTGATGTTATTTTAAATATTTGAATGAAATTTAGTCTATTTAAAAATTTAGAAGAATTAAAATTTGGATAAATTGATTTTTTTGAATGTTACTAGCTCTATTACATTGTAGTATCAAAGAGCCAATAACGCCTCCACTAAGGTTTGGACTCACAACCTTCCAAATGAAAGTCCAACCCGGGTACCCTTTGATAAATTGATAGTTGAAGAATAAATGTAAAAATTTAATATATTTGAGGTTCTAAAAGTCAAATCAAATGCCAAACATATTACGATTTAATTGTATCATTATTACTTTTTATTAAGAAATATCTTATTGATTGTATCATTATTACTTTTTATAAGAAATATCTTATGATATAATATTGATAAGTGTCAAATATTGCTTATGTAATAATATCATTCATGTATTTTATATGTTTCTGGGTTAGAGGGAGGAAGAGGGAACCCAAGTTAGTAAGACGTTACCTTTGTGGTCTAAGCACTCCCATATGGTCCTCAAAAAGCAATATACTTTATACAAATGTACACTTTTCTTGATGAAAACATATAATAAAACTTTACCAAATGAACATTAGAAATTCTTAGAAAGTTTCAAAATTTTCTATGTTTTATGCTTACTAATAAGGATTAATTGGGCAACTACCATGTAATATGATGGTATCACGTTTACCATTCTAAATTAGTGGTCATAGGTTCAAATTTCGATGGTGGGGTTTAGATTCTTTGTGCTAAAAATGTTTGAAAAAGTATAAAAAACAAATACTACCTTATAAAATATTACGAGTATTTACAAAATAATTTTAAACATTTTAGAGCAATAAGTTGTTACAAAAACTAATTAATCAAACACTCATAGATTGTTCAAACAAGTTAAACAGCTAATATTAATCAAATAAGTCAAAATTAACTGATAAGCTAACTAGTTTACCAAACAGAGCCTAACTATTTTACCAAACCTGACCAATTGTCTAATTTATCATTACCAATTAAAAATTATATATTTATACGGAAATAATCAAGATATTGGTCACATAAATACAATCAATCCATAGCTTAAAAAAGAAGATATGGTATGCTTTGATATTAAAGTATTGTGCTTAATTAATGAAAAAAACGTGATTAAGAAATAAATACACTAGAGATTGTACAAAAGTAGGATTTGATATGTGTGTCAAGTATCTTGTTATTTGATAATATATATCATCCTTATCATTCCAAAATGATTGACATATTATGTGGGACAGTTATTATGAATATGTTAGATTTTAGTCATTAAAAAAAGTTCGCTATAGTCTATGGAATTAGTTGGCAGGAAATGAAACTTGATTGAATTGTAGAGAGCTTTGTGAAAATTCAGATTTTTCTATGCGATTAAGCATTGAGTAATATTACATGTATTCTTATTTTTATTATATTTTTTATTCTAGTTTCATGCTTTAATTGATTCAAAAAATAAAGTTGATCACTATTTTATTTATTTATTGATCTTTCTTTATTATCGAATAAAATTTGTAAATATCGTGAGAGTTATATATATTCCATAAAATGTATGTTTATCATTTTTCTAATGGATTAGGTGGCTATTCTTAAAAAAAAATTAAAAAAAAAAAAAAAAGATTAGGTGGCTGTGACTTTGTGAATCTCGATGCGGTAACTGACATGCTGGCCTACTGCCACGTTGCATGCTGGGCAGCGTTTTCAGCCACGTCAGCCATCAGTACGGTTTTCCTTCCTTTTAAACCGCTTTGTTTTTCCTTTTTCTTTAATCTTCAGAGAGGTGTAGGAGGCGTGCTGGGTGCACGTGTGAGGTATCCAAATCTGGACAACTATTTAATTAAAATTATTTTAGGTTTAATTTTATTATTAATGTCGGTGGGACCCAGCGAGGAAAAGACTGTTAGAAAGGGACCCCACCATCAGTTTCAGATGCGGTTTCCCAGTTCTGCTACCTTGTCCCCATTCCTTAACTGGATTTGTCTGTGTACGGACAACCTTGGAAGCTGGTGAGTCGCATCATTACTACTGTGTTGACTACAGCTTTTACCAATCACCTTTCTTTTTTTATCTTATAATAATAGGGTAAAAAATAATTTAGGTAAAATAGCACTTTTTCCCCCAAGTTATATACTTATAACATTTTTTCCTCTTAAATTATTCATGTAAGTACATTAGCCCCTTAACTATTCTAAAAATTGTGATTTTCCCTCCTGATATATTAAATTAACATTTTTACCCTTAAAATAAACATTTTATTTATTTTTCTTCTCTGACAAATTATTGCGTATACGTAGAGATGAACACGGTTCAATTCTAACTGAACCAGACACTATAGCAATCAAATTAAAAGTTTTCGGTTATGATTCAGATCCAGAAACCAATATTTGAATTTCATTTTATTAAAATTATGAATTGAAAAAATTGGATCTTGAATTGTGAACCGGCGGTTCCGAATTCAGTTCGAGATTTTGAACCGTCTTTATTTTAAAATAGTCTAAATGCAACAATAAATGTATTTTATTTTTTTTTCCAGTTCAGAACATGCATGAACCGACCGTTCTGATTTGCAATTTTAATAAACTCTAAATACCGGGTTTCGATTCTAAATTGTAATTGGAATATTTTGATTTGGTTGCTATAGTTTCTGTTTGGTTTGAACCAAATTGTTATCATAATTTGTTGGAGAAGAAAAATAAATGAAATATTTATTTTAAGGGTAAATATGTCCATTTAACATTTTAGGGGAAAAAACAGCCACTTGAATAATTTTAGGAGAAAAAGTGCTATAAGTATATAACTCAGCGGGAAAAAAGTGTTATTTTCCCAATAATTTATTATCTCTTGTTATATTAAGGGGTAAAAATAAAGGAAAATACTTTGTGTATTTCCAT